ATTCTGACAGTATTAGGTGATCAATATAAATCATTAAGTATCTTACTGTCAATGTGAGATGTTCTAAATTGCCAGCTTATTTAGCCTTCCTTGGTCCAAAACTATTCTCAAGCATTTAAATGTATAAAACAATAAAATAAAATGTCTCTTGCTATGTTCAATATTCTGAATTGTAGTACACAAAACTTTTAAATCAACTACACTTGAATCCCAATTTAAGGTTCTTCAGTCTAGGAGCTTCCTCTGTTCTGTCTGATATAAATTATGTACAATATTCCATGATCTACTGTTTCTCATTTCACTGTTCAACTCCCATTTTGTAAACGAAAATCCAGTCCCCACATGAAATCTATGCCTTGATGTAGTACTGACTTGCGTAACAGTTTACGGATGTAAATAAATTATGAATTATATATATCTTAATGGAAGATCAAGTTTCCTCCCTATTTTTAGAGTTACATAATGAAAGGTTGTCCTCAGTTTTAGTCATTCTGTACTGTGATAGAAAACTGAGGCTACTGCCACATAAACGTACTGTGACCAGTTCTTTCACAAGTCAAATTTCAATTTTAACAAAATAATAATAGCAAATGCAGAACATGAATTGTTTACTATTTATATATTTTTATGAGATAACAATTTGATTCTCAGTACGTACTGAAATGTATGTGGAAATTAAACCGTTCACAGCTCGATCACACCTCTGTTAGACACATAGGTTACATTGTGATGAATGACAGCATGATTATGAATTGAGGATATGCAACAAACTATCAGTGGAGTATTTTTTGGTACTATTCCAGCAGCTGTATGAAGGAATGGAAAACAGGAGTCATTAAAGCAGGTCTCCAGCCTTAGATTTGAGACTAAAAGCTTCTGAATGTTAAGGACCATTAGACTTTATCATTCCAAAATCAGTGATTTTATACATTGCAGTATTATGGGAGTGAATGCTGGATTTTAATTTCTCAAGAACAGAGAAATGGAAAGCACCACTAGCTGGACAGCATGTGTGCTGCTGGAGTGGTTAACAGAAGGCCAGTAAAGGTTAACCATGATACCGCCATCTTGGTTAACAGCATTAAAGCTACAAACTTGACACATTCTTAGTTAGTACCATTTTGATCAAATATGTCACATAAAGATATTCTGTAACCAGTCACATGGTGCTACATATATGTGCATATAAAAATTACAGTAACACCTTACAAACACAGAGAAACACATCTGGTTAGTAATGATAAATGCCCTACAATAAAATACTCCTTAAATGTTGTAAGACTGATTTGTAAACATGTACTAGATGCATATATACAGATAATTTTATGTACATATTTTTTTTTTTTACTTCTTCTGTACTTTCAATCACAATGTCAGTATTTAAAGCTTTGGACCAGAGTTTTCATTGGAATGTTGAACTCCTGAACAGATATTGTTGAGAGTCTCACCATCCATGTGACACGTACGACACTCAAGTTTACGGGCACCACCAGTCTGTACAGATCCTATGAATGACACATAACACCAAGAAAGGGAAAATCGGTAAGTGCTATCCTTGATACAGGCACACAGTGTAATCAGCTGTGGATCACCATGGCCATATTATTGTTGTTGATAACTGAAATATATATGTAAGTTATAATTCCAGATTTGTATCAATATTTGAGCTGATGAAATATTAATGTACTGAAAGTGATGCATCTTGCTTGGAAACCCTATTCTTTTCTGTGTTAGTGTGTTATTTTAACCCTCTTAGGGCCAAGCCCAAATATATCTAGTGTGTCCACTGGGCCAACTGTAAACACAATTTTTCCAGACAAGAAATTTCTCAGGGGACCTGGAGGAAAGAACTTCTTATAAGTTAAATGTAAAATTAGGTTCACTTTTTCAGATCCACTTTCATATATTGATCACAAGCAACTGTTTCTGATATTTCAGACATAAAATAGACAAATTTATATTAATAATGCAGCTTGGAAGCACAGTTTTAACAGAAATACAATTATGTAAGATTTGAGGTTTTCACGGCAGTGACTATAAAGAAAGACTTGTAACTGTACATTCCTTTCCAGTTTTTCTATTGATTTCTTTATACAAACACTGAAGACATGTGAGAATTTAAATTTTTGCACATGTTCAAAAGAAGCATGATGAGGTAGCCAGGTGAACGCTATATAATAAGAGGCAAAACAGCAAATTATGAAAAATTCGTGAAAGGAACATGGTCAAGCCAGTGCTTGAAGAATGTAGAGGGAAAGGGGTTAACAGTTTTAGAGGAAGATTTTTCAGCTTCATAATTTATAAATTAAATTGCTTCTTTCAAGCAATGTCCAGTTTATAGTGAAGGTTGATTTAAATTAAGATCACAAATCTCTCTCTCATACTTTGTGCATGAGAAAGAGAAATACAGCTGACAGGAGTAACAGTTTCATCAACTTGCTCCTTTCTTAAGGGCCGACAGTTTAATTTTCTCACCTTCACCATCTTAGTATGACATCTAATCACCTGGGGAAGGAACATAGATATAAACCAACTGGCAGATACAATGAATTCTTTATAGCAAAAACAATTTAGAAACTACTTATGAATGAATTTTAGTTTGACATACATTTACAAGTATCTGGAGCCTACACTTCCATTTACTAACATTGTTAGAAAGAATTATTATAATAACCAGTGATTAAAAAGAATGCTTTTTTTACATAGATGTTCTAACATTCATCATAATTTTTATATAGCCTAATCAAATTTTGTAAGAAAGGATATGAATTTTTAAATATTATATAGAGGCACACCATGCTTCAAAGTCTTCAGATAATAAGAACAATAAACTGCACACAATGTAGTTAGTAACCTAAATTGGTGCTATGCATTCTAGACAGAATGGAAGCTAACCCAGTACAGAGTTAAAGTCAAAAGAAACCTAACCCATGATGGGATTTATTTAAATTAGGTTATGTCCACATATCACAAACTGACTGCCAGTTATCTTAAACTCTAATTTTTGTGTGACTAAAAAGAGGTGAATTGCAGAACTTCGTGACAACCCTACACAAAGTAGAGTTAAATGACAGATTTTTAAACTTGCAAGAGATTTGTGTCCTGACCAAAGAAATAAAAATATGACAGCATAATAAAACAAAATATATTTAGGAATCTTCAATGACTTGTGACTTTTATATTGCATATTACAGACATTATAGTGTGTATTTCACATATGTAAGCAGTGCCCATCCATGACCAAACACATGTTGGGACCACTGGATAAATACAATTTTGGTTTGCTAACAGTTCCTGAAATAATTTTTATAAACCTTCTGTCTATTACTATAAAGTGTTATTTTAAAAGGGGTAAATCAAGAAAATAGTGGTCCTTCATTCCTTAACTAACAGTGTTCAAAGGAACTTGGATGTCCAACATTGCTAATCCCTCTTCTTTCAGAAATGAAATACTCTTCAAAAAGAAAATAGCCACCCATAATTCAAATAATTCCCAGGTGTTATTATCAGTTGATTTTGCAAATAAAACAAACTGCATGTAACCAGATGTAGGATGTCACTAAGTTTTGTGACAGTGTTGATGTCTATTTGGTTAAGAACATTAAATTCATAGTTTTTAACTTCTTTACAACTACTGACATAGGCTTGAATTCAAATTATATGTACAGATTACTATCATGGCAACAACTTGATTCTGAAACAAAATCCCTGTTTTCTGTTTTTCTTACACATATTTGGTTACAGGCCACTGATAAGAGGCAAGCAAGTTAAGAATTAATAGCAAGTTCATCAAATCATATATCATTAAACTTATAACATAATTTTCTGGTACCCCTATTTATTTAGCTTTAATATAGGGTATTTTCCTATATACAGAAAGAATTAATGACACTAGTGCATTCATTTCAACCCCCCCCCCAAGTAATATTAAAATTCTTGAGAAGCTCCTTTTGAGTACACTAATATTTCACTAATAAGATATCCAGCTACATCATACATACTGTTCAGTTTCTTCATTAAGCCTGTATTTACTCATACTGTTGCCCTACTGATATACATGCATTTAACACTTCGCGGACTGGTGATTTAAATATTTAAATCACCCTGGGGACCGGCATTTTTAAACATACTACCTTAACTTGTGCACTGTTCACTTTAAAAATTAATATAAAATCTCCTAATTAATTTTTTGAACTAAAATTTTTGGAGAACACTTACCAATGCTTCTAGAAGTGCTTGAGGGTGTGATATTTCTGGAAACTTTCCCCTTTGTGAAGTGGCATTACACAGAACTTGCAAATGTAGACATACTCCTTTTTTTGTGAACTGTGCAAACATGGCATTGCCTAGAAGTATTCTTCCACTTGGAATGTTCACTCTTCACAATTTTCACGAGGGTATTTTTCCGAATATCACTCAAGAGTCGCCCTGGGGGTCCACATGAGGCCTTCATGGGGTGGGAGCTGATGGGCCCAGTCGTACTAAGTCTTTGTGTGACCCTGGTTCTGCCGCCACCATCTGGACTGTAGCCCAGGCCTTTGCCACATTCATCTGAAGTGCTTTGTATTTCAATTTTGAATCAGGGTTTAGATTTTTTTTAGATTTTTTGCTGTCCCCGCAATGTTATTACTCGCATTATCGTCGGAGCTGCTGTCACTTTTACTGTCTGTGGCCACAATTCTTTGTTGTCCCCCGTCACTGTCGCTGTCTGAATGACAGTTAATCCATTACTACGCATCTCACAAGGCAGGTCAGCTAGGTCATCAGAGGAGAATTTGTCCCTGATCCATTCTCCCCACTAGCTACTGGGTGATACACACAGCTTGAAGAAGGCAAAGCATTTTCCTTACAGTCGGTTAAGTAAACAGCGAGGTCAAGTTACTGACTGCTAAGTAAACATTCCAGAGTCTTATCACGCATCTGCAGGCAGTTGCGTGCAATGTAGGTGGCGCCAGAGCAATGTATAGTGTGTTGCAACTTATCGTATTCTAAAAGCCTGTTAACACGCGAATGGTCCACCATGTTTAAAAGCGAAAAAACCTTTTAAAAGGTGTGCGGTCCGCAAAGTGTTAAGAAGATAGTAATTTCATCAGGGATGGTGGTACAGAATGAAATGCAATTTTTCAGAAATGAAAAAGGAATATGAAATAAAGATTAATATCTATCAGATCTTTAGTATCTTAACAACATTTCTAACAGGTGAGAAACACAGGAGTATAATCTATGTACATTGAAGAGATGTGGCCTACTTGCTCCTGTGTTTGAGACTGGACAGCCATGGCTATGATACAATGACCACATTGTCTGTATTACTTCCCTGGCAACATCAGTTTCTCCTAGGACAACAATACAATACAATCCTCACACTTCCTTTCTGCACTTTTTCCTGGTCTGCATGGTGACTCTGTTCGAATGTGCTGATGTGTGGTCTAAGGGGGCAGGTATCAACGTTCAAGAGGAACTTACCACTTCAGCTTCAGGGCAGACTCTCCTTTTGCAACTTTTGCAGAGGCATTTTTCTTTCTTATGTAGAATGGTAAAATACGAACATGACTGACTGCAAATATTTTCTTTCACTTTCAGTCTGATGACAATATTTAATGAAGCTTGGAGCCAGGCATATGAAATTCTGTATGGAGCCAGATCATATCCATATTATGTGTGAAAAACTGTTTGTAGGTGAACAACTGGAAACATGGTGATGCATAACTGTGTTGTTATATAAAATAAATTTAATGTATACACAATCTACACTTAAGTATTATGCTGTACCCAGTAATACAATTGAACAATGACAACAGTTATAGAGATGCAGAACTGGAAATCTATGCAGTAGGAAAGCAGGCTTTAAGAGCTCTGCTTGGAATTTTTTGTTATTGACTTGAAACAAGGCTTGTCAATAACATGACATTTGAAACATGATTATGCCAGGGAAAAAGTCAAATGTAAAATATGCTTCAAGACTTTGCTTATTTACAAGTAATAGAACCAGATATCCAAACAGTCCTTGGAAAACACTCCAGGAAGTGGAGAATTCATTCTGAAACTCCAATCACATCATATTTACTTTGTATGGTACAAGCCACAGAACAAGCAATACTACATCATGTATTGTTATAGTTACAGACATATTTCTTGCGTTTGTTTCAGTATTTTGATCTTCAGAAAATTTATGGTGAACATGATTCATCATTTCTTTACCGTAACATCACAAATAGAGTTTTGTACTGTACAATGTACATGGAAAAATATTTTAATCATTTAAAAATATGTTTATAATTTTATGTCATCATACCTGATGCAAAACAAGAGAGAAAAGAATGAATATGTAATTATATACCAAATGAAAGCTCGGCCCCTTGGAACGGCTGCCATCATTTCGGTGTGAGGAAAGTTGACCCTGGAGGTTGATGAGGCGTGGGAGAAGAGGAGCAGCTCCTGCTGAGTCCACGTGAAGGTTCAGCAAGCAGGAAGGATCCTGAGCTATTCTCAGCATAGTGACTCAGGTGGTGGTGCGATTCTCCAGGTACCATGAGAGATCTGGCTGATTCTGAAGAAGTATCATTGCCACTACTGCTTGCCGGTTCAGATGGAGTGGGGCACCTCCGGTCACAAGGCGCAACCATCCCACTAAGTGTGTGTAGTGGAATGCGGTACAAACGGAATGGCCGTGCTTCGGGTGAAGCTGAAAACAGTAGTTCTCACTGGTACCGATTTTGAAGTCTGATAGTAATTATTTCCATAAAGAATGTTTTGACTTTATGCCTAACAGGCTCAAATTGTGATGCATAAGTACATCTAACTTATATTTATGTAATTTGTAATCTTATTCATTTTTTCAATTAGACTTTTATTGTACATATGTCATTCTATTTATATTGTATTTTTCTTGTTCCATATCCTATGCAGCGACCATCGCACAATAAGCCTTATTGCACATACAGCAAATATACTTAAAAGGAGAATTGAAAGGAAAATAGAGGATGTACTTGGAGAAGATCAGTTTGGATTTAGAAGAGGAAAAGGAACCAGGGATGCAATTGGGATGATGAGAATTATAGCAGAACGAACTTTGGAGATAGATGAAGAACTGTGTGTGCTTCTCATAGACTGGCAGAAGGCATTTGACCGGGTAAACTGGACCAAATTAATGCAGATCCTGAAAGAAACAGGTATCGATTGGCATGAAAGAAGATTGATTAGCAAATTGTACATGGATCAGAAAGTTAGAGTACGACTGGACACGGGGGAGACAGGAAGTGTGCAGATTGGAAGAGGAGTTCGACAAGGATGCTGTTTATCACCAATTCTGTTCAACTTGTACAGCGAATGCCTTACCAAGGAAGCTCTGGATGGGCTCGGTGACTTCAAAGTAGGAGGGCAAATTATTCAAACTGTGAAATATGCAGATGACCTTGTGTTAATGGCTAAGGAAGAAACTGTGCTACAGGGCATGATTGATAGACTAATTGAAATTGGAAGGTGCTATGGCATGGAAATGAATGTGGAGAAAACAAAAGTAATGAAAATTTCGAGACAACCAACCCCAGTCACAATAAAGATAGACCAAAAACAAGTGGAGAATGTGAAATGTTTTAAATATTTGGGTAGCTTGTTAACAGATGATGGAAGGTGTACTTGTGAAATTAAATCCAGGATTGCCATGGCAAAAGCTGCATTTAGCAAGAAGAAGAATCTTTTTACCAGCAAATTGGACTTAAATTTGAGGAAGAAACTAGTGAAATGCTACATTTGGAGCATAGCTCTGTATGGGGCTGAAACATGGACACTTAGGGCAGTAGATCAGAAACATCTGGAAAGTTTCGAAATGTGGTGTTGGAGAAGGATGGAGAAGATCAGTTGGACCGATTATGTGAGAAATGAAGAAGTGTTAATTAGAGTCAGTGAGCATAGGAATATCCTACACAAAATAAGAAAATGGAAGGCTAATTAAATTGGTCATGTTTTATGCAGAAACTGCCTTCTAAAAGAAGCTATTGAAGGAAAGATAGAGGGGCAGATAAAAGTGACAAGAAGACGAGGAAGAAGACGTTGGATGACCTTGGGGACAGAAGAGGATACTGTCATTTGAAGGAGAAAGCTCTAGATCGCAATAAGTGGAGGAATTGTTTTGGAAGAGACTGTGGACCTGTCGTCTGACAGATTACTGATGATGATGATGATCCTATGGTGTCTACCTGTATTTGGATTTACGGAACATAAATAAATTGAACAATTGCATCCATAGAGTTTAGGGACTGGGAAAAATAATGGAATATTTTTCAGGACTGCTGATCTCCAGGCCAATTATAAAAACCAGATCACCTGAAGGTGGAACAGCAGTAGTAACTTGCATGCCATGACCAACAATCCAGAATGATTCAGAGTGCAGTCTTCTGGACTGTGACACCTTATAGTCTTGTAAGAGGATACCAGAGGCTTTGGAGGGACATACTGCCTCCAAAACTCTAGTATATTCCTCCAAGAATATACGGTGTTAGCCCAGAAGACCATGATAAGAACAAACATTGCTGTGATAGCTCAAAACACAGATCAAGAAATATGCCTGCCAATTAGTCACACACCACTTAACAATTTGAAGCCTAATTTAATATAGACTAACTCTCTACTTCCATGGAGCTGAGTCCTTCTTGAGCAGTCGCCAGTCTCTAAGCTACTGAGGAATTTCCCAGCATGTTATGTAACTTGAAGGTTCATTTTTGTGTTCACAGGAGCCCTCCACCAGTCCCTATATAATCCAGTCCATACCACCCTACCTTATTTCTCTACAGTCTATCATAATATTGTAACGTGTTTCTGGTTACTGAAGACGCCGTAGAGACGGTTAATTGGTTTATTTAACGATCTACAAATAACGGCTACAATTACTTATCACACAGTTGCGGGGTTTCACACTTTATAACCCTAATCGCATTAATCTGTCGACACTGTTGCGGGGTTTCACGACTTATATCCCTATGCGCAAATCAGTTCACTCTATCTTCAGTAGTAACACGTTGACAGTAGGGGAGCTTTGTATCACTGTATCACACGCTCCCAATTACACAATTACACACACGTCCGGATCTTCTTTTCGCGACGGCTGCTATACTCCAACTTGTAGTCGGCTGGCTGTTACTTTATAACTCGGAATGTCTTCGGCGGTAGCCACACTTGAACTCGAACTCGAACTGATCGATACGCACTGTGCATCCACTTATATAGCTGCAGTGCTTGCCTGTGGCGTAATGAGTGCCACGTCACAGTAGGACGTTGATTACGGTTACGTTAGCGTTGCGCGTTACGTCACCGCGTGACGTCACCGCGGAGGGGAGTGGCGGGGAGCGCTACGTTACCGTGGAGAGGAGGGGGGAGGGGGGTTCTCAGTCGCGCAACATGTTACACTGCTCCCTCCTTAAGGCTGTTCGTCCCGAATAGCCTAACGGTGCACCCCCGTTCCTTTTCCGTCCCATAGCTGTTCTTGCAGCATCTGGTCTCCGGCTGTTACAACGGCTCCCTTCTTAAGATCAACTCGTCTCGGGTGGTTTCCTTTCAGCCCGGCAGAAGATCCAGTCGCGTCCCATTCATCCATCACTTTCATTCTGTCGCACATTCACTCTCAATGGGGAGGCCGGTACTTCTACACTACCGGTACCTCCTCTGCTTGAGGTCTCTTTTTCCGTTTTGGAGGGGGTCGTCCCCTCCACAAAGTCCAGTCCTTGGTCATTTCTTTCTTCGGAGGTTCCTCATGTCGACGTAACAGCCCTTGATGCGTTGTTCGTCCTTGCCGGCTTCGTCGTTCCTCCTGGTCTTCCAGCCGCTTGCTGGCTCGAGACCGTGGCGCCAAGTCCTCTCTCCGGCATCCGAAGGTTCCCTGGGGAGTTTCCTTCTTGAAGTCATTTCTCCAACGTCGTGCCACTGTCGCGCGACGGGATGTCTTCCTGCAGGGGGCAGCCAACTTTTTCTGGGGTCCACTCTCTTCCCGCGTCGAATTCTTCATATTCCGCTTCTTTCGGTCCCTACGCCTTTTCTTCTTCGGTTCTCCGACCGGCATTACTTCGGCGTCTTGTATGGGTACCTCTCGTAAACCCGCCGCCTCAGGTTTCCTGTTCGCTGAGGCCGGCTTTTCTCCTTCTGGACGTGCCTCTGTTTCTCGGCAGGCCATCGTCACTCTGACCGGTATCACTGTGGGGACCTCCTCTTGTTGTGCCGCCGCAGGTTTCGTGTCCACTGAGGCCGGCTTTCCTTCTTGTAGACGTGCCTCTATCTCTTGACAGGCCGTCATCTCATTATGGTTGGCATTCACCCTTTTGACGGTGAGTGGGTAGTGTGGGGGCCTTAATGCATATGCCGGCGTCCGCCCTCCTTCGCCGGCCGTCGCTTGTTTCCCGACGGTTGGGTACCCTTCCTGTTCGTAGGGGCAGTTACTCGCGAAGTGGCCCAGTTTTCCACAACTCCAGCACCCTGATTGTCTTCCGTCTCCTCGATGGGTGGGGGACGATCGGTACTTCCGGTATGTCTTGGTGCTACCTTCGTGAGGTCTAGCTGCTATCAGTACCGCTTGCAGCTCTAGCGCTCGTCGGAGGGCCTCGTTTACCTTCTTCTCACCTCCTAGCAGCAGCTGGAACCTTATATCGGCATCTCGTATTCCGTATACGAAGGCTATTCCTGCCTCTCTTCCTATGTGGTCTGCAGGTAGATCGGGGTAGGCACGATGGGAAAGTAGTTCAATGGCCGTGGCAAAGTCTTGCAGGGATTCTCCAGGTTTCTGGGTCCTTGTTCTTAATTGGCAGCGGTAGGCAGCTGCAAAGTGTTGGTCCCCGAAACGGTCCTCTAGAGCCTGAAGAGTTTCCTCGTAAGTGGCATTTGCCGGAATGCCGGGTAGTATTTCCGCCGCCCGACCCTTCAGGGCCGTAATTAGGTACGTCGATTTTTCCTTATCCGTCCATTGGTTGTGCTCTGCTACGGTCTCGAATTGTCGCCGGAACACGCTCCACGTTGAATTCCCGTAGAATGTCGGTGGCTGAGCTGTGCTCGCGACGATCGTTGCTGTATTTCCCCGCTCGGCCTTCATTTGCACTATGTCCAACCGGGCCTGGAACTCGCGTTTGGTTTCGTCAATTGCTGCGCAGGTTTCGTTGTAGTTTTTCGTCAGGTTTTCCTGGAGTTTATCTGTCCGCGCGCAGAGGGACACGTCAATCTGCTCAGTTATTTCTGACCGGAGAGTCTGTTTGTCGTGTTCAACGATCGCCAAAATGTTTTCGACTCTATGTTGGATTTGGTCATCCAACTCTGACCGCATAGATCGCATTTCGGCCTTCAATTCTTCCTTGTCGGCCGTCGCCTTTTCTTGGTAGGCGTCTAATTTTGTCAGCATGACTTCGGTTTGTTTCTGGTTGACGTCTAATTTTGCCAGGAAATCTTCTCTGTCTTTCCTTCTATCGGCCTTCATTTCTTCCTTGTCAGTTTTTCTATCGGCGTCTAGTTTGGCCAGGAAGTCTTCTCTGTCTTTCTTCCTATCGGCGTCCATCCTCACCAGCATTTCCATCATCTGCTGCATCTCCATCTTGTCGCAGTAGAGTACACGATGCACAATAATTCAATTATTTGTCAGGCGTGTTTAAGTTCGTAAAAATTCTGACACCAAATTATCACGTGTTTTGAGTACGAATCTCGTTGATCACGTGTGTAAGTCCTAATCCCACTTCTGACACCAGTGTAACGTGTTTACGTTACTGAAGACGCCGTAGAGATGGTTAATTGGTTTATTTAACAATCTACAAATAACGGCTACAATTAATTATCACACAGTTGCGGGGTTTCACACTTTATAACCCTAATCGCATTAATCTGTTAACACTGTTGCGGGGTTTCACGACTTATAACCCTATGCGCAAATCAGTTCACTCTGTCTTCAGTAGTCTACACGTTTACAGTAGGGGAGCTATGTATCACTGTATCACACGCTCCCAATTACACAATCACACACACGTCCGGATCTTCTTTCCGCGACGGCTGCTATACTCCAACTTGTAGTCGGCTGGCTGTTACTTTATAACTCGGAATGTCTTCGGCGGTAGCCACACTGGAACTCGAACTCGAACTGATCGATACGCACTGTGCATCCACTTATATAGCTGCAGTGCTTGCCTGTGGCGTAATGAGTGCCACGTCACAGTAGGACGTTGATTACGGTTACGTTAGCGTTGCGCGTTACGTCACCGCGTGACGTCACCGCGGAGGGGAGTGGCGGGGAGCGCTACGTTACCGTGGAGAGGAGGGGGGAGGGGGGTTCTCAGTCGCGCAACATGTTACAATATTATTCCCCCACATATGTCCAGGTCTTCCTACTGGGTTTTTTTCCTTCTGGCTTTCCCACCAAAACCCTATATCTATTCCTCTTCTTCCCTAGCATGCTACCTGTCAATGTGAGAATTTAATAGAAACAAAATTTAAAAATTCAGTACACTTGTCAGAAAATACATTACATCTTCATTACAAAGAACATACTTTCATGCTGTTTAGGGAAGTGAAACCCATGCTGTGTGGTCAAAATGCAGAGTTCTTAAATGTGAAAGCAGTTGGTACACACAGTAAGCACTATGCTTAAAGGGTTAACGGAGGTTGGTGGCAAGAATATTTTTAAATACAGTGTTTGGAAATGGATTGGATTGATCTGGCTGAGGATAGGGACAAGTGGAGGGCTCTTGTGAACACGGTAATGAACCTTCAGGTTCCATAAAATGCTGGGAAGTTCTTGAATAACTGCACAATTGGTAGCATCTCAAGAAGAGCTCGGCTCCATGAGTTTAGAAATTTACCAAATTACTATCTCATACAATATGGATGAAAGGAAGAGTAGGTTACTTTCACTTTTAATCTTAATATTTACCGTTGAGTTTCTATATGTCCTATAATACTGCCTGTATAAAATAAGCAACAAAACTTTAGAATGGAATTTTATGGATTGGCTTGTAGACTGAAGTTACACTTTTGGAGTCCTGACCCTTATAATCAGTAAGGACAGTAATCATGTAGTTACTATAGGATTCTGACGATGGTGTATAACACACTGATATATTGGGTTTTTGGACTTTATCCATCGTCCTGTTTTTAAGATAACTAAGAAAAACATGACATTTCAGAAACTGCATCTGTTTCTGAAACATCATGTTTTTCTTGGTTATCTTAAAACCAGGACAATGGATAAAGTCCGAAAACCCAATATCTCTGAACAGTAATCATGCTTACAGTGTGGTGAAGAAGGTGGTGAGATGCTGGGGTCTCTCTCTGGTCTATCCACTTGTAGCCTTTCAGCTTTGTTATGGAAGAATTCTGGAGCCGTAGTAGCAAAGAAGATATCATTCTGATAACAGCAGAAGAAAATGTGGTATTAACAGTTTCCAATTCATAAATTGTGTTGAAATTTAATGGAACATACAAACATTATGGGTGTTTCCATAATATATATAGCCCTGTTGCTTTCCTGAGGCTTCAGACACAGAATATTTAACTACCAAGGGGTGTGTAGATAAGCCTGCTGATAGTTTTATGTGAGAAAAATCGAGCATGAAAACTCGAGCAGCAATGAGTATAAAAATACCTAATATCACATGTCACCTTCACTAAGGAAATCACTCATTTAAATTAACAATGTAACCAGTATATATCCTGTATGCTATTAGAGCAATATACAGGGCTACTATAAATGATTCATTCGTTTTTAAAACGCTATATTTTCCAAAGCATTATACGTACAAATATGATTGATATATAAAAAGAACCGTAAACTCGCCTAGTTTTCTTCATATTCTACAAATGTTCTATGTGTGCCCCTTGGGTCACACGACACACGGCCAGGCGGTAGTCGAGCTCGTTCCACACATTTTGTAGCATCATCCTGTCAATGGTCATCACTGCAGCATCGATGCGTTCCCTCAGCTCTACTAGTGTTCTTGGCAGTGGGGTATATAAACACGATCCTTAGTGTACCCCCAAAGGAAGAAGTCACAAGGCGTTAGATCAGGTGATCTGGGGGACCAAGTGAACAGAGCTATGTCATCATCACCAACACGCCCAATCCAGCGATGCCGAAGTTCATTGTTTAGGTAGCGACGAACATTGCCGATACCACCGCAAAATGCTTTGTTTACATGGGGGTTCTTTTCTGTACTCTCTTTTGAATGCGCGTTGCACTGCTATAACAGACAAACATCTCACATATTCCAACTAACAAAAACTCTTTTCTTGCTTTGTCGCCATTTTGTAAGGGCACTGAACTCGTGCTGCCAACTGATGCATATAATACAAACTTGGTGAGTTTACGGTTCTTTTTATATATGAATCATATTTGTACGTCTAATACTTTGGAAAATATAGCGTTTTAAAAACGAATGAATCATTTAAAATGTCCCTGTATTTCAAGGAAATTAATGGTAAATATTTCCCAGCTCTTCTGTTGGGTTATTTAGGAGGAGTCTATAAAAAATGTGCATACATCAGTCAAGTGATTCTGAGTAAAAGTGAGCTCTATTAATATGTAATTTGTAAAGTTTAAGGAGTCATGTGGTAGTGTAATTGTTTAAGGCACTATGCTACATGCAGAACGGACATGAGTTCGAGTCCCAATGAGGTGGATATTTTTCAATTAACCTAATCCTTCCAGCCACAATATGGCCCTGGGGTCGCTTCAGCCTCTAACAGAAATGAGTACCAGGAATCTTCCTGGGGGTAAAGGACAGCCAACATATAAGGCTGACAACCTTACTGGCATCTGCGATTCGACTGTCTAGAGAAAATATGGAGCCTCGATGTCTTACAACCCTATGGGCCTTCATGGCCTGTTACAGGGACAGCTTTACCTTTTTATTTTTCTTTCTTTTTTCTTTTTACTTCCCCCCCCCCCCTTTTTGGCCTTTCATGGAGTCATAATAATTTTAACATATGATAAAGATGTACCAGAGTAAGGGGTTTTAAAGAAGAATATCACAACAACTTCAGTGTATAATAAGCGCTGTTTAATAATGAAACCAACTACAACCTCCACCATGTAGACCACAGGACACCGTGAAATAGCGGGATATATGTAATTACTTATTCTGGGGAATGACATCAACTGAAAAACTCATAAGCACATTTTTAAGGTAAATATTTCGATCTAAGAGGGATAAAATTAAATGGAAATGATGAAGAACTCTGTGATTTTCATACATGAGTTCTGTATTATATTCATTATTTAGGTTGTGTAAGTTATAAATGGCTCCCAGGGATATCTCCTCTATGGGCAAATAAGATTTGCTCTTCAGCAAGTAAAACGAAATTCCATTAACATAGTGACTTTGAAGAGTTGTTACCTTGGAACATATGAGAGTCAGTTTAGGTAACACCATGGTCTGAACCAGGTTTCCATTGATAATGAGGCGAATCTCCATTGAATCGGTCGTGAAGGCGAAGATGTATGGGAAGGCACACACTGTAATGAAATCACCATTCCTCAACATACATACTTCTCACTACATCATAACACATATTACAAGAACCGAATGCTTACAAACTGTCAGTAAATGAAGCCTGTGCATTGCATGTATTAAAGAGTTCAGGGCCTTTGAAGCCTACCACAGCAAGTGACAACAGAAATCGTGTTTTAATTTAAGGGTTATTATTGCAAAAATTAATATCTTGTTTCCTGTCTCAAAAGCTACATTTCCTGATCTAGGAAATATAGTGGCTGAACAAAATAATGGAAACACTACAGACACTACACATTTCTCTATTAATATGGTGTTGGACTATATTTTGTCTTCAGTACTATCGCAATCCTGGGGCACGCGGTAGCGTACTTGGTTGAGGCACTATGCTACAAGTCGGAAAGTGATGGGTTCAAGTCCCAATGAGGTCATTGGACTTTTACCAATTGAACTAATCCTTCCAGCCGCACTACGGCCCTGGGGTCGACTCAGCCTCTAACAGAAATGAGTATCACGAATATTCTTGGGGGTAAAGGGCGGCCAGTGCGTAGGGCTGACAACTTTGCTGCCATCTATGAGCTGATTGTCTAGATAATGTGGGAACCTCAACACCTCATAACCCTATGGGCCTCCATGGCCTGTTACAGGGATGCCTTTACTTGCTTACTTTTTACCTACAGTCGCAATCCTTCTTGGGATAAACTACAAATTTTTTAACAGTCTCTACCGGAATTTTATACCATTCTTGTTGAAGAACATGTTAAGTTGCTTTACAGATGGTGGAGGTGTGAATCTGTTCCTCCCTCTAGTCTCCAAAACTGACCTGAGTGGTTCACTGATGTTGAAATCTGGGAATTATGCTGACCAGGGAAGATGTTGAAGTTCACCTTCATGCTCATCAAACCACAACTGAACAGTTCCAGCTGTGTGAATGGGGGCATTGCCATCTTCGAAAACCGCATCATTGCTCAGAAATAGTGTCTGGACCATGGGATACACCTGATTACGCAACCTGCCCACGCACTCCCTTGCAGTAACTCGGCCATGGAGGGTAATAATTGGACCATCTGAATACCATGATATTGATGCCCTCAAACCATCACAGAACCTCCCCTGTGTTTCAATGTTGGAACCAGGCATTCCGGACTGTAGGCTTCCTTGGGGATTCTCCAAACGTGAACTCTTCATGATGTAGGGAACAGCGTGAAGGACTCCTCTGACCATATCATGTGTGTTTTCCAGTTGTTTGATGTTCAGGCATTATGGTTGTGACACTATCATTTACGCATCTGAGCATTAGTTTCAATAATCGGAGGTTTAACAATTGCAGCCCTACCACAGATGTTGGATTTGTGAGAGTTTTTGTGGAAACAGGGTCTTCAGGATGAATATTGAGTTCTGCTGTCACTTGTGCTGCAGTAGTTGTTTGATTTTTCAAAACAATCCTTCTCAATGTATGACAGTCTCTTTCTGTCAGTTCTACCAGTTCCCACTGGTAGGACATTTGGTGGGCCCCAGAGATGGTATGGATGTTATGAAGAGAAATTCTTTTCCCTAGTTGGGAATAAGACCCAATTTCCTTGAACATCATCAACCTGCTCCCACTCCTCCAGAGATTTCCAGACTTCACCTGTTGCCCTCCTTCAGCTTGGCATACATTTAATACTACCACCCTTCTTAACAAACAACTTTTTCAGTTTTTAATTTTTAAATCAACACAATTTAGGTTTTTATTAATTAACACTATTTATCACAATTTTACGAATGCGTGAAATTATACACGTGTTCTCTGATATATTGAAATTAGAATCACTTCAGTTTTAGCATATAACTGTCCCATAATATCTCACACCCCCTAACCAACTAGTTGCATTCCTCCAGATAGACGTGTCCCACAATTTCGAAAGAACTGCATTACTGTACTGTGTTGGTTGATCATAACTTTTAAGCATCAGTGTAGAAGGCAGAGTATGAGAGAAGCTAAAGTTGTTCCTGTGCATCCCTCACAATACATTGTATATGGGACATGAGGAAAGGCTCCATTTATTCTTAACCTCAGCAATAATTGGAGGTAAGTGGTCAGGATCACAGTACAGTGACTTTACTAGCACAGAAGGAGCCCCTAGTACTCAATAGCCAGGAGAATGAGCGGGGCCTGAACCTAGTCTGAACATGAATGTCAACATGCAGCAAATGAAGGCATTCCAGGTTGTCATGTTCCAATTTACTGTGTTTACAGGTTGAAACATAACTTAAATAATTATCTATAAATACATCAATGCAGTGCATTCAAAATGCAGGTTTTGCTCACTTGCTGTTTTAAATATTTTCCTGCCAAAAGCTGGCAAATATAACACAATTAAATAAAAATTCATTAAATAGGTACATTAAAAATTTAATTATGTTTGATTGTTAAGAATGTGTCCCTTACAGAACCTGGCAACTGTACCTCACAATACTTCATGTTCTTACTATTCCAAATGCAAGTCTTGACATGTAGAAAATGGTCCTTAGGGATCACATAATTATTCATTAAAAGCCTTTACAGATAAGCATATGCACGTACATACATGTGAATAAAAAATGGTGTTAAGGAAGAAATTAGTTTCACACACAATGAAATTATTTTCAGTCTATTAATCCTTATACTATTGCAAATTGAAATTAAATTTAGGAGTAAGATCAGGATAAGAACTGAGTAACAAAATAAGTGAGGCAAAAAAGGGTAATTGCAAATAACAGATGTACAATATGGACTTCGCGTCTGAAATGTCCATACCTTTACATTGTTATATGATAAATCAAAGTCTGTGGGATAGTTGACAGTTTCTTATAGACACCCTGTCTGAATACATACCAATAACTGTAGGTACAAAATTCCAGTGAAAGTCGAATTCTGTGCTGCTAGCACTTTCTTCTGAGAGCTTCTGAAAGTGACAAGTATCTGCGGAGTAAACCAATTGCCCATTTCAGAATTTTACAAAACACTGGTTAAGCCAATGGTAATGAAAATGATACATGTATTCAATGAGACAAAACAACATTTTAATGGCAAATATGAAAAGCTATTAAGAGTTTTGGATGAATATACATGCTTAAAAAATAACAATAAAAAGTCTATTGAAACATGCAAGAAAGTTAAATTTTTTACTTCCAGCCCCACTACAGAACTACCTGCAGGAGATACTGACGCTGCTGGGTGGTAAATGCAGCTTCACAGAAAAACCCAAAATACCTTCAAATGGCATCGTGTATAAATCATGCAAATGTCTATTTTCTACTAGACCTCTGTTAACAGAAACGTTGTACTAACTAATTAACAATCAGTGAATCTCTTTTCTGTGATGGTGTTAGTGCTAAGTACTTGACTACAGGCTAGTCAGTATGTGATGCACAAATAATTAAGACTTTTAACACATGAGATTTGCATTCATGAAGATATTATTGTTTATTTATTTATTATTAGAATAAGTAATGGGTTTCCTAAAAAAATACTAACTAGTAAATTTTTGTAATGGAACTGCAGTGTGTTTTCTGTGCTGTATGAAGTTCCACATATTATTTAGATGTACTTAAGGTTTCAAAGGGTTAAAGGAATGTATCTAGAAGTATGCATTTCACACAAGAATTGTTAATGGAAGCAGAAGTTTCTGAAACGTGGGTCTCTCACTAGAACATGACGTTCATCAGCTCTGGGGTACTTATTGCGTGGATGCGGCAGAAATATCAACACTGGCTATGCCCACACAACATAAATACCCAGCAGCAGAGTCAATATCAACAGTGAACCACTGTGGAAGTCTGAAATCAGTAATGATATATATGGTTTATATTCCATGAAGACTTTACTGAATAAATGACTTACGATTATAGCAAAGAAGTAATTCTGGTTCTTCATCTTCATAGAGGTCAACAGCTGCAACAAGATGTGTTCGACTACCTTCGACAGCATGCAGCCGAGACACCTCACCTGTGCGCTCATTCACCAGGTCGAACTGGTGACGGTAACCTACACAGATATGATTGTCTGCTATGCCACCACCTGATGATCCTGACAGAGATGAGTCAACTAATGTGATCAGCTGAGGGGGTTCTGGCACCTGAATCTCCTGTAAGGCACAAACACTAAGCTGCAGTAGAACATTCATCCCATCTGGTACATCTGTTCCATTTGTCCAACCAATAATCTAGTCACTATACTGAATGCACCATTCTGGCTCCGCCAAGGTGAAGGCAAGGATCAAGTTCTGTCTGCACTGGGTATTAACTTGGGAGAAACAACACACAGTTGCCTCAGGTTATCAGACAATTGCCAGGTCCATTTTCCATCCTTGATATTGGTAAGGCCCTTCAAGACCCCTGACAATAATGATAGTGACAGAGGCCCTCCTGACATCTATTGGCCTGCATGCCAGAAGATTTTCATTCTACGCCTAGTAAAGCTGGGTACTGACACAATATGTGATACGAGGAGTCCTCTTCCTTTTACAGTAGTCCCAACAACTGTAGCTGGGAAAATGAAACTCTTACCGTACTCAGTTTGACATCACATCTAAATGATGAACAATGGAGTGGAGGTACAGTTCTGGGCATTCATTGTATGTGTCTGCATTAGAATCTCATTACTGTGAGCCAGATTCATGAATGAAGTACAAAAGTTGAAAGACTGGTGCTGAGAATTATACTGACCCGAATATACTGGAACCCATCGACAGTGTCCGTGTCACTGGCAGGACACCAGGCTGTCCACGCTGCTGAGTGGCGCCACTGCATCACCAATAATTTCTTGCCAATTGCAACAACCTGTGTAACAAACAATATGTCAGTTGCATGCACCTCTCAAGCTACGAGTAGAATTTCATAAGGAACAGTACGATAAAGATAATGTGACCATTCTATTGAATTGAATTGAATTGAATTTATTTACATTCTATAAATACTAAGTAGGTTAGTACCTTTGGATACAGAACAAGTCAAAAGGTTACATACATAAGTACAGGCAATTTTAGCTTAAAAATTAATCTAACTTAATTTTACATCATTCTCTAGTTACATTGAAGTATTCATCTAAAGAGTAGAAGGAATGAGCATGTAGATAATTCTTTAACTCTTTCTTTCTTTCTTTCTTTCTTTAACTGTCCAGTGGGCAAAAGTGATCATGTAGAAGCACCAAACTTACTAGTGGACAAGAAAAATAAGTCTAAACCAATAACTTGTCGTAAAAAGAGCTTTATAAATAGGGAACGACAATTGCCCCCACATATTGAAACTACGAATCGCTTCACGATACTACATAACCTCAATTATGATGGAACTCATGAGATTTTAGCCAGGAACAATAATAGTGATAGTAAGCAACAACTTTCAGGAAATAAAACAACGAAGGAGATCCCAGTGATACTTAATGGAACCACAACAATAGAAGCTAAAAAGGAAATGGATCCAATATACAAGTTTCAACAGCGAAAAGTAGTTATCATTGGAGATAGCCATGCTCGTGGCTGTGCTGTGAATATTAAACATTTACTCAATGACGGTTACAAGATTCAGGGTATGGTGAAACCGGGAGCGTGTGTGGAAACATTAACATCGTCAGCAAAATATGATATTGAACAGTTAACAAACAAAGACGCCCTGGTCTTATGGGGAGGCTCAAATGACATAGGTAAAAATAACTCGCAACAAGGCCTAAGACATATTGTAGATTTTGTGACCGAATATAGACATACAAACATTATTTTGCTAAGTGCTCCACACCGGCATGATTTATATGATTGGTCATGCGTAAACAAAGAAGTGCAAACTTTTAATAGGAAACTAAAAAAGTATCTGAAGTGCTTTAATCATGTTAAGATGCTGAATGTTGATCAGAATAGGGAATTATTCACCTCGCATGGTCTGCATATGAACAAACATGGGAAAGAGAAAGTAGCTTTACAGATAGTGAATACTATACTTCCTTTATTCCATAAACAATCTTATAGTCCAATCAAACTAGGCTGGATGACACAATATGAAGAAGATTCTATAGTAATTACATGTGATGGTGGTGTAACTTTTCAAGACGACTCTAATATGATATCTGGAATAAATGGTCAGGGCATAAACCCTGATGGAAATAGAAATAAGGAAAATCACATTATATTAAACAAGACTAAGATGTTGAAATCTAATAATAACAAACTACCTGTTAGAACTAGAAAACTCCCAATTACGAGATCTGAGGATTTTTTATGGTAAATTTTCATAAGAATAGGGAAAATATCCCTG